GTCTCGGTAACTAGTGCCGTACCAGCCGCCCATCCTCACACGGATCTGTCCCGTCGCCCAGTCCACTAGAAAAATGGTCAGTACCATGAACTTTCTCTTAGAATGCTTGGACTACTGGAACACCCTCGACTCGAGGGCCTCGAGCGACTAAGCTCGCCGATTCGAATCACTCGTGCTAGAGTTAACCCTAGCTCTGCGAGACTTCCCAAGTACTGTGGTATCAACTTGCTAAAATGCATCGGTAAACTATTACGCTAAAGTGAGGAGAGCCCACGGGGCTCTTCAGTGAGCCGAATAACGGATGGGACATTAATTGCATATGTCATTGAGTTTCCGACTTTTTGACAGTGTGTCACTACTTATACTACTGATAGTGTGTTATGATCAGCGAATTGATAGCTGTGAGTAGGGGAACCCCCTTAACGAATGAACGAACGGCTCAGTAGGGTAGCAACCCCGTTCGACGGGTCTCGCAGAGAATTTGGCGAATGAGATATAACTTTGAAGAGCCTACAATCTACCATTGTCATGGATCAGTTAATTAATGTCCATCAGGTTCCCCTGTCTCTCGGTGTACGAAACTGTTAGTGATGAGTCACTGAATCTCATTGATGGTCAATGTTAGTGATGACTGTTAGTGATGGGATCATTCAGTTCTAGATTCGCCTCTGCTTCGGCGAGCCCTTCAAGGGCTTTAGCATGTCACGATCCGATCGAGCCGGATTCCCCTGACCCCCAGCATTGACGTCTTCAGGCCGAGGTTAGGGAGATGAGCATCCTCGTCCTGGCTCCGGACTCCTAGATAATTTTAGCTTTTCAGCAACAACAGCGTTACGGTGAATAGTAGGAGGCGGACGAACACCTCCCTGCCCGCGCAGAGCCCACCTAAAGTCGAATGAGAATGTCATCATCAGCAACAGACACAATCGAGATAGATCAGAAGGGCTTCCGTGCACGGTGCATGGTGCACCGATTGCAGTGCAATCATTGCACGATGATGCGGTGAAGGTGTGGAAATGTTCGCGTTCATTCCATCAAAATAGTGGTCTATCGGCCGCAAGAGCCGACCTGCTATTGGTATGCTCACATCGTCACGCATGGCCGGCATTGCACCCTATCGCGCACACAAGCATTGACAACAGAACTCACTCGACTTAGGCTAATGAAGCTGCCCTTACTGCTGCCCAATAGAAGTAGAGGCAATGAATTTAGCATGCTTCCTTTGAAGAGTCATCAGTCTATCACTCCTTCTTATCTCCTTAGAGAGTAGAGTACGGACGACGGAAGACTTCATAGAGGAGCAGTTACTCTGAACAAATGACAAACTGCCTCTCTATCACTATAAGTCACTCTAAGGATACCATAGCCGCGTGATCAGGTTGTCGACTAAGCGCTCGATAGACCTCTTGAATTTCGACATCAGTAATTATCGGTGTGGATGTTTCGCCATAGTGCGCGAAACACGGCGTAATGAGATACCGCCGCTGCTCACTTGTCGCGATGCCTCTCGATCACGCGGTAACAGCACTCGATCCTTCTCAACTCGAATGGGCTCTTGAGAGGCGATATACCTGAGGCTCACTGACGATAAATACACCACCCAGGAATTGAACCTGGGGCCTCAAGACCGCGGCCAAATCCGCGATCTGAACACTGCTAGATGCTGTGTGAGATTAATAAGACCCACCATAATTATCCTCACTTGTCTCGGAAAGTGGCTATTGGGTCCGCATTGTCGCCGTATTCCTCCCTGTAGATCCTATCAATGAACTCCTTATCTTTGTCATCCAGCTTCATGAGGAGGGCATCTCTCCTCCCCTCAGTCTCCTCTATCAGCTTAGACACATCAGATCGGTACTTGTCCAGCAGAGCTGATGATCGCGTATCTTGAGGATGGGGACTGATCCAATCATAAGGCTCTAGTCATATTATGCACGGCGATGTTCATGGTGATTGTGATGTCCGACATCATAATGGTGTCAAACCGTAACACTTAGGAATGTAGTGGTACATGATACAATAAGTTGGGAGGGAACATAATCGGCAACCATGTTGAATAGAGCAGTGCGGACTATGTTGCTATTGAGTACAAAGTGATGATACTAAACAATATCGCGAAGTACTCGACAATTATGTGCAGGAGGCCACAATTATCGTGGCCTACGTTATCATAACGTGTGGCAACATTCTGAATGAATGTGATGCTGACTCACTAGCTGAGGTCTTTGCCGGCAGTATAGACGATGAGGAGGCTCGGTCGAAGGTGGTTACCATCGAACAATAGCGAGTTGGTGGGAAACAATACTATCACGACATCGTTCACTGTACGGCCTCGCCGTATTTGAGGCTAACGAGAATTGTCTCATTGCAAACTCAACTTTATTCAAATTAACCCATTCCTTGGTGTCGTCAAGTTGGTAATTGTGTAACCGACCGCAAATTCTTATTCGCGGGTTGAGACAGAATACTTGCTCAGTTGGGAAAACGTGAGGGATGAGTATTAACCTCTGATTCACTAATGACTTTCACTCTATAGAGGGAAATCACCTAATGAGATACGAATCCTCGACCTGATCCGAGAATCAAGAGTTGCTTTCTCAGATGATTGAAAGTCTTTCTTAATACGTCTTATTCACAAAGCTAATTTCAAGCTGATACCATTGAAAGTGAGTATTTCCAAGAATCAGCAAATTCCGGTTCGAATCTGACATTCTTGACAGGACGACGACTACAATCGATCTGCCCGGCAAGTAAGCGTCATAAGTTCACAAAAGAGAGCAAACGTCACTCCGTGAGGATGGAACCGGGTAACTGAAAGCACCATACATCTCCTGCTTCACTCCATTAGCAGCGCAGTTCGTTTACGGAAATTAGAGGCCGACCCCTACAAGGAAGCATATCGTCGACCAACTTGCCACAAAGGCGCTAAACGCGTGTTTTCACGAAGTTCGAAGAGCGTCTTCCCCAGGGGCCTAATTTCAGAAATCTCTTAAAAGAAGGCCTTCTTGAAGTTCAAGAACCTCTTTAAACAAGGGTTTCAAGAACCTCACCGGATTTCAAAACTTTGTACTTCTTTTAAGAGGACTTCTTGAACCTTAAGATGTCTTTTCGAGGTTCTTGAAAGCCCATTTCGAGTGGGACTCGAACCCAGGACCTCCATGGCGCGACTAAATTGAAACACTCTCGATCCACAAATACAGCCCGTTGCATGTTTGCACAATTGCAATCAGTGAATTTCCGTGAAGCTAATTTCGCCAAGTTGGGAGCGGAATGATGAAACGTTCTGCAAAAACGCGTCACAATCCACTTTAACCTGCCCCCGAGGAGGTTCAGTAAAAAGGGTTGTTGAAACTCAAGGAATTGATGGTTTGAAGAACTCTTCTTGAGGTTTCTTAAGGAGTTTTTAAGAAGCAGTTTAGGCAAAACTCGGTTCGAAAGCGGTTTCATGCGTAAGAAGCTCAAGATTGCTTCCTTGAAGAGAATTTTGAAATAGAGCCCAGGATCCTTGTTATGCTGAGAGCACTCGCACGCGTATTTCCCACAGCATGTGTTGTGTTGCAATACGTTTCCTCAACTTGAAAACTTGTAATACTTTGATGCCGGTGCGACTGATAACAGTGAGTACTAGTAATTTACTAGACCCACCCAAACTTAAACTGATGCAAGTAAAGGCTTGTGCTGTCTATAGGGGCATCTCTTTGACATGTGGCCGCGTAACATAATACTAAGCGTGCAGTGTACGTTTCCTTCAATGTTGTGTTCTCACAGGTCCTCGGATAGAGTCGAGCTGAACGAGAGTCTGGAAGGCTTTACTATGTGAGTGCGCCAAGGTCATTAATCAAAGTCGCGAATCATGACCATGATCCGGATCACTGGTACAGAATCAAGGATGAACTCCATGCTAAAACTTGGCCCGTTACAGCTTGATTGTGATCCGTCGGATCATACTCAAGATCAGATTGTGATATTGAATCTGCGTGCTTCTGGTGTTAAGTATAAGAATCCCGACTCGCCGGAATTAATCTCGGGTCATGACGGGAAATCTTGACTGAGTATTGGCTTACGAGTTGATGAAATGCTCGGCGACTCAGTGCCAAAACCTCAGACGCGGCCATTGAGTATAGATTCGAATCTTGACTTGAGTTGTGATTGGAGATCGGAAGTCAGATACAAATGACTAATTAAAAAATCAAAGATTAAGGATCTTGCTGGCGATTTCGTAATCTGACTATGCCTTGAGTTCGTGAGTAGAGATTTTGAGTCATTACTCTGGAACCAGGGTTTGTTTTGAATCATGAACTGGAGCTGCAGGGTGAGTCGAAACATGAACCCAAATTCGCAAATCAGGATCCACATACGGCCCTAGATGACTAGTTTTCCATGTCGAGATCGGATAATATACTTTGACGCAGTTTGCGGTTTGCCTGAACCACTGATGCGTCGTTCTTCCTGATATATTACTGTAGAACTTCAGTCTGACATAGTTTTCATGTACACTGTATAATACACGGATATATCAGTCTGAAGAATGTGTTTGGGTTAACGACGTCGCAGGACGGCTTGAATGGCTTGCACTTGGGTCTTTTTGTTTTTTTGAATGTTACACTCGATGAAATGAGAATAGTCAATGCATGGTCGCGTCATTTTCGCGTAATGCGATATACCAGTTGAGCTGAACCTTCACTATGTCCAGCATTGTAAGGTGGTTTGATTTTAATTTCATCAGTTTTCACCGCCTATGCTTCGACCAGCATGCGGGCTGTCATCGGAGGCCACACGGTGATTCTTCTCGAGAGGAGGTGAGGCTCCGTATGGCGCCATGGCCGACTAATGAGGTGATCAGACGCTTCCGACAATGTTGGTATCTCCGGGTCCACCGTGCAAGATTTAGAGTAAGTAAGCGTTCAGGTACTGGTTTTAACAGAACGACAATGGAGCAATTGATTTCAGTGTTCGATTCCTTCTCGCGAGAGGAGAGGCGGCGCTCGACTTATCTGATTTCGAGAACGGTCTTGCCGTGAAGGAGGATCTTGGTAACCAATAGTTGGTTTCTTACATACTGTGTATGTTGTCATACTCTACCCGAAAATTGTGATCATGGTGGAGCTCTACCACCCGTGATATGAGAAACACTGGTGAAAAGCATGTTTCACGACTAATGCATAGCGCGAATATCGCGTTTTTCACCGAGTTTCACGCCATTTCACGTAAAACCGGTTAAACTCTCCCACAGGGCGTAGTCTGGCTGGCTAAGCTGAGTACATTGGATATGTGAGGGATGCTCGGATGGTGATGGAAGGAATGGTAATTCAGGTTGGTAGTACAATAGGATGGGAGGAATGGAAAAGGATGGGGCTGCTTACGATGTTACTAGAGATACCGTTGGTCTGTGCCGGGGTCGCAACGGCCATCCATCTCTCAGCAATTGAAAAATCAAGTGCATGATCCGATCCGGGGACCTTATTGAGCAGGTTGGCGTGCCGACGGATCTACCGACTCTACTTATAGCCAGTTCCGATGGTGCTACTGATATCGAGCTTGGTCGAGGCAGTTAAGTGGGGATTACGCCATGTGAGATTCGAAGACAACTCTGCCTATCTCGGCTCAATGTGCAATGGCTGATCCTA